TGTTCATTGCCATACGCAGAGACTTGCAGGATCTGTTGCAGTTGCCCTGGGTTGTGGATCGTGACTGCAATTCTGAAGGGCAGCCCATCGTTGACGGCATTATCCTGAACCGTAAGTAGAATTCCAGTAGTTTGATCTGGAAAAAGCTGGGTGAGGATGATGTGAGCTGTGATGCCATCTTCGATGTCCTCTGGAGGTGGCCGTACTACATGGATCTCAACTGGGATGCCCTGGATGATCAGGTCTCTCCATGTGAAGGTCAATCGGTCCCTCCAGTCTGTAACATCATCATATAGCGTCATGCGTCTCGCATAGAGGCATCGCGGATGGCCACCTCCCGGGCAGAGAAACCAAACAAGGAAAGTTGCAGCTGGTGATTCTCCTTGCCAGGTTGTAGCTCCAATCTGCCAAATTGCATGTAGTGCATGGATGTCAGCCGGTTGGCTCCATATGTTGGCTCGATCCGGATGAAAAACTGGAGCAAGTGGATTCATCGTCATTGTAGCATAGTCAGCGCATTCGTTTCCACCTCCTGTCAGATCAAGCGCTTGTTGGACCGGCTGTCCTTTGGTTCGTTGCATCAAATCCACGGTGTCGTATTCTCTGGCGTTCCAATTGGTCCCACCAGTACGGACGACAATGTTGAGGGCTGGTTCAAGCTCTTCAAAATCCACAATGTTCAAAGGAAAATCTCGAAGAGTCACTCGGCAAGAGGTCGTTTGGCATGCTGTTGTGAGCTCACTCATACGTATGATGCCCGCGGTATTCTGGAGCACAGTCGTGGAGTAAGCCCGATGGATCCAGTTGTCTGCACTTCTTCTTTCATCCAAAATGCTGATCAAACAGGTGGTGTACCCCGGCCGCTCATGCTGTTCAATGATGAGATGGGCTTGTACGCATTCAAATCTGTTGCAAGACGGCGTGGGCTGAACAATGTGGATAACGAAATCTTGCTGCGGATCAAGAAGTTCCGTCCAAGGTTCAATGATTGCCTCAAGCCACTCTGTGTCATCCTCTTGCAGTCTGGCAGCTCGCCCTTCATCGCAGCGGACCCGTTGTAGATGGTGAATGAACCAAACAGTGACATACATGATGCGGCCTTCTTCTTCGCATTCAATGAGGTCTGTTCGGTCCCGCAAATTAATGAGTCTCCACAAATGTCCATCAGCAAAACGGCCTCTCTGTGGTGGAACTACCTGTGGAAACGTCCAATCATGTATTGGTGGATGAACAGGCCGTTCAATCATGGGTTCCCACTCAACTCTTTCTGCGCCTGTCCCAGTGCCAAGTTGGCGGAGGGAGAGGGCATTGCTCCTCTGTCTACATTGTGCTGCAACATCCATTCTCTCAGGTTCTTCTTCATCTGCCAGATCACGCGCAATTGCGATTGCGATCTCTGTGTCCACACTGGGATCTTGCGGTGGAGGAACCTGTATCTTGAGGTACATTCCATGTACCATGGTGTGGGTCCTGTCATCATTTGCGGCCCACAGGATGTTGTTTTTGAAAATGACGCAGCGGTCATTTTGGAGTCTGCAGTATTCGAGGAGGCCCGTCAGGAGCAGTAGTTGATCACGATGAAGCGTGGGATTGACTTTGATGACCTTCCTGCTGGCAGCTGCTGGAACTAACAAGCCGCCACGCAGCGGGTGAAAGTGAATCTCAAGGTCTAACAACACAAGTTTTTCATCAGAGCCTGCCGCAATGTCGTTCACAGATTGAAGTATAATCACTTCTTCTGCTTCCATGTGGACTCCTGTTGGAGTGACTGGCACATAATGAAAACATCGGATGTCACGTCTGCGTGCTCGACATGCTCTGATAGCCTCTTCCAAGATTGCCATGTAAGTTGTGCTTGGTGCAAAGCTGTGAGCATCTGGTGCTGAAAGACGGAAAATGAGCAGCCCAATGTCACCACTATGTAGGCTACTGCTATCATAATCATCTCGTGCAGGTGCAATCAGCGCATTTCCCTCTTCTTCTGTCACCTCGAAGTCATCCTCATGTGGTTGCTGCATGAGAGAGGCATCCTCAATGTCAGCAAATTGCCGCTTTCTAGTCCTCGTAGTCGAAGAACTGGCAACATTGCTCAGTGTGGGCGCGTCAATGATGTTGATGTTGAAGGCGTGTCCATGGTTGACTTCATGTGTAGGTGTGGCAGTGAAAGGGATGTCATGCCACTCGTAACTTGTCCTGCAATTGATGTTGTCTTGATTGCACCAATACATCACCCGGGCCGCATCCGCAAGAGCAATGCCCCCAATACGTCGTGGCAGAGAACACGCCACCGCATACGAGTGTGGGGGGTGTAGATGGTGGTAATGATGAATGGTGGACAAACTGGAAAATCTGTGAAGCCAATGTCCTTGTGATATGATCACGTCTGCATGTACAGGCCTCGTCAGATATCCTCGGAAGGAGTCCGGAAAAACCACGTGGATCTGAATGACCTCGTTTGGTCGGATATGGTCTCTCCATGCCATACCGATGTCCGTCTCCCATCTTCTCCAGTCCTCCTCAAACTCGAGAAATCTCGGAACTTCGCAGTAGCGTTCATCTTGATGATGAAGATACCATGTTCGTATGCGCATGGACCCATCATGATCGAGGTCGGTGAAGACTCTGTGTCGCTCTGCAAGTTCAAAAAGGTCATGGACAAAGTTGGGAGCGCCATGTGGATCCGGTATGACGTCCGGATCAGGTTCTTGTCCTTCTTGATCGTGTGTCTGTTGTTGTGCTTCTTCAGGAAGAGGGTGATGCCATTGATCTGTGATGCGAAGAAGCTTCGGTTGGGGGTCTGCCGGATCGACACGGCCGTAATCGACAGCGGTTCCAGGCAAGACCGATTCACTTTCAAAGGCTTGTAGAGGTCCTTGTCATGGTCGTACATCCAAGTGTCACTGCTGAAAAACCATCCCCAAGGTTTCTTCGTCGCCTGACATAGATCTTGATGACGTACAACATCAGAAACCATACTCAAGCAGTCCTCCATGCCAAGTAGGACTTCAACATCATCACAAAAACGTAGTGATCGACTGTCCATGGTTCGATCATTCCTGCGCTCTGTGCCAAAATCCTCGGGGCCAATGGTATTGTGCCTGCATCCCAAAGCAGGCAACGTGCAGAGTTCAAATGAAAGCTCCAAAGCACGTGATGAGGCATCCCAAGGCGATAAGAAGTCCTCTTCAGACACGATCGAATGCGTCCAACCAACGGTGAAATCCACCAAGTGTGGCGACGTGGCGGGCTGTCCACAGGGATACTCAGGAGTCATCCACTGTGAGCCCCGCCAAAAGGCTGCATAGACGGTGAGGCCAAAGGCTTGGATCCTGCTGGTGCGCCCTCCTGTGATTCTTCTTTTCTCTGACGCTTCTTTTGCTGTTCTTCCGCGGCTGCATGCTCCTGGTCTGCTTGTTGTGCAAACTCTCCAAGAGATGTCGTGAGGTGCGTGAGCCCGTCCTCGATCTTCTTGGAGCTTTCCATATTCATGAGCACGTCGTCCTGCATGGCCGGGTCGTCCTCCGCTTCGATGGTGATGACTCCCCGGTCTTGTAGCTCGCGGAAAATCGCCTGTGCTTTTTTGACATCTTCCCTGGCTTTGGCAATCTGCTCCAGGTTGCTCTTTTCCTGGCTCTGAAATCTCTGTGTATACTCCTGCCATCGTTGCACAGAGAGATGCAGGAATTGTCTCCAAGAGGCAAGATTTTGGGCTCGGGCGAAGCAAACCTGTTCTAGCCTTTGTTGTGCGTCTCCAAGGTTTTCCACTGCCTCGTGCATCCCTTGGATCTTCTGCATGCCTTCTTGGACCTTCGTGTCCTTCATCACCGCTGCAACTTCTGCTGGGAGCTCCATCTCGTTCTTCTTGAGTATTCCCATGACTTCTTTCAGCTTCGATTCTGCAAGTGAATGACTGTGTCTGGGAGCTTCTTGGGCTGGTCCAACAGAAGGTGGAAATGGCGTTGCAAATTGCATCCATGAGTCTGTGTTGCCCGTCGGTGGAGGCATGGGTGGTGGCGGGAGAGGTGCCATCCCTTCTTGTCCCATTCCAAGGCTCATAGTTTGGCCACCTTTTCCCTTGCCTTTGCTGCCACCCGCTTTGCCATCTCCTTGTCGATGTTTTTGCGATTTCGGTTTTTGCTGTCTTCTTCTCGGGCTTGCACTGGAGGAATTGTGGTAGTGCCACCCATCCCATTGGGAGCCTCCCTGAGTGTAGCTGCGATAAGAAGTATGTCTGGTCGGAGTCTGCGCACGTTGGGGCATCTGCGCATTCGGATCCAGATACTCTGTGTCTGCACAATCTTCCCAATGTTGTCCACATGCCGGGCAGAACATGTCGTTGCCTTTGATAAGCCTCCGACAGTCCGCACATCTCCAGGAAGGTCTCTTCTGAGAAGCCATAGCTTCTTTGATTTTGCGAAAAAGACCCGGGTCTCGCGAGTGATGGCTTTGGAGTGTGGTCCAGATTCGATGCAAGCTTTGATTGTCCAGCAGGCACAAACCTCTTTTGTGCAAGTGGAGCCTGAGTCTTGCTCGAGCTCGTGCCCTTCGACCCGCGCGTCTCTGTGAAGGAGTAATTCTTACCGACAGTGAACGAAATGAGGATGAGGAAGGCCAACAAGGTAAGAGGCATACACCGTGAAGTCCTGGTCGTCAGGCGCCGCAAGGTTCAAGATGTCCTTAACGGTGAAGACGAAGAAGAGAAGCCAAGGTGATGTAACTCTGCACAGGAGTTACAGAGCACAAGACAAAAAAGGCGCTGGAGTGCTGAAGCAGCAGCGCCCGCGAACCGTGGCTTCGACGATCCGCTAAGGGTTTGGTACGTGGCGTGGGGAGCTGTAGCCAAACACCTTATTTCCCATATATATATAATCATCTAACAATACAGAAACCTTAAACAAATTAATAATTCATAGATTCATAAATTAGCCATATATTGACATATGTAGGTCCGTGTGGAAGGCGCGGTCAAAAATTGACGATATGTCCTCGATCTACTACAGGCACTTGCGCCTTACACAGCTGCAGTGGCAAGATGGTGGTGAAACCAGAGCCCAAGGCCCGGCCGCCGAGTCGACTTGGGAGGTGGGTGATGAGACATGTATGGAACATCTATGGGAATGAAGTCCCGAATTCACTATGGGGGGGTGAAGTTTTCTGGGCTTTTGTTGATTAGATCGCAACATGTATACTAGGCAAAAGACAGGCTCAAGGAATTGGGATAGATAATGAGTAAAGCAAACATAACTGGGGATATTTTGTAAGAGAAATCAATGATTGGGCTAGTCCTATGCCAAATTGATGGAAGCACATTGAGCCCCCCCAAGGGCTTTGCTGCCGAATCCAGTTTTTTTTCCGGATTGAACTACCATCCCCAAGATAGACCTTGCCAGATAGGGGATTGGAAGACATTTTTCATATCCATTTCACCATCAGAAATCCCATCAAATCACCATAAGCCCAATGAAATCCCATGAAATCATATGAAACCCCCATTTTTCACCGGTTTTCCTTGGGCAGAGCCTGGAGAGACTGGACCTTGGCTTCCAACCAGGAGTTGGTTGGTGCTACGGATGCCGATTGCTGTGAAGATGGCCGGGGCACCCAGTTGCTGATTGGCTGACCCCAACGGTTCGCCGTGAAGCTGGCCATGGTTCGATGATACCCTCTGGTAAACATACAAAAAACATCAAAACACTATGGAAAATCACCATTTTTAAGGGGTAAATCAACTATTTCTATGGCCATTTTCAATAGCTATGTTAGTTATTACCAGAGGATAGATGGATGGATATGTTGGAAACAATGTTGGATTAATTACTGTAGATCACTGTAGACCCAAGCAGCTGGAGTTGTACTGCATTTTTCTCCTATGGTACGACATCGCAGATTCAATACATGAGACTGATGGCCCAGGCCTGATAGACTTTATATAGGTGGTATGGTTTTGGTCCAGTTGATTGGAAGCTCACATTCTACCAGGCTAAAATAGGTCCCAGATTTTCTACCAGGTGCAATTGCCAAACAATTCTTCCAAACCCGACCCGCTCCAAAATTGTCCCATCAGCTGCAACCTGCTGCTAAGCAATTTGCGCGGACTTCCGCAAGACAGTGTATTGTCTAATTACGAAAAGCCGTTTCTAATAGCGAATGCTAATTCCTAATTACGAAAAGTGCATGTCGACTAAATGCGAATAGCAGTACCAGATACCACAGTGATTCAGAAATGTTCTGGGATTTGGGATCGTTTGGTGAAAAAACATGCGCCGTGCCTCAATCGTTGCTCATTGTGGCTGCAGCATGTGGTGCAGAAACATGCGCGATGCCGCGTGTGATGGGTTCGCTGGCTGGTGAAGAACTGGCCAGACAAATCCAGGCTGGGTGTTTCTTAATCGGATTTTTGACCAACTGGATAACTCGGTGAGCTTGTTTTCATAGTAACAATCGAACTCGCATGGTGGCAGGCCGTGCAAAAGTTGAATCGATCGCGGCGCAAACGTGGCTTTCCTCCTTTGCCTTTGCCAATGGAGGAGGCAGACCAGGATGCAGCAAAGCGCTTAACTTTTCTTAACCCCGAAGCGTACTTTCCTCAACTATGAATCTCAAGCTATCTCAAGCTAGGGGGTTGGTATCTCAAGGTATCTCAAGCTAGGGGGCTGGTATCTCAAGGTATCTCAAGCTACAGGGCTGGTATTTCAAGCCATGGAGCTGGTATCTCAAGCTACGGGGCTGGAATTGCACTGGTGACTTAAGCTACGGGGCTGGAATTGCACTGGTGACTTAAGCTACGGGGCTGGAATTTGAGTATCTCAAGGTATCTCAAGCTACGGGGCTGGAATTGCACTGGTGACTTGAGCTACGGGGCTGGAATTTGAGTATCTCAAGGTATCTCAAGCTACGGGGCTGGAATTGCACTGGTGTCTTAAGCTACGGGGCTGGAATTTGAGTATCTCAAGGTATCTCAAGCTACGGGGCTGGAATTTTAGTATCTCAAGGTATCTCAAGCTACGGGGCCGTTATTTGAGTATCTCAAGGTATCTCAAGCTACGGGGCCGTTATTTGAGTATCTCAAGGTATCTCAAGCTACGGGGCCGTTATTTGAGTATCTCAAGGTATCTCAAGCTACGGGGCCTGAATTTGAGTATCTCAAGCTATCTCAAGCTAGGGGGTTGGTATCTCAAGGTAGCTCAAGCTAGGGGGCTGGTATCTCAAGCTACAGGGCTGGTATTTCAAGCCATGGAGCTGGTATCTCAAGCTACGGGGCTGGAATTGCACTGGTGACTTAAGCTACGGGGCTGGAATTTGAGTATCTCAAGGTATCTCAAGCTACGGGGCTGGAATCTCAAGCTACGTGGCTGAAATTTGAATATCTCAAGGTCCCACAACTATTTGACTAAATTCGGGGTTAAGAACAAAATCTGATTCGGGGTTCAGGGCGTGTCTCGACCAGGATGGGACCCAAGTCAAACATAGGGCTGGATTTCATGCGTAAGGCAATCATTTGACAGACATAGCACAGATTTCACAATCAAGAGAAAATGAGCAGAGTTTTTGTTGGATTGCCATTAGAGTTGTCAGGATGAGTCACCACATACACCACCTGTGAAACGGTGGCCGTGGAATTCGCCTTTAGTTACTGCCGAGGACGCACTGGAACTGTCGTAAAAAAGAACTAGTTGGATTTGACACCTGTATTGGATTTGACATTTGCAACATTTGTGTTAGGAAGTGAAAGATGGTGAACTATGCATGCAGTCAAGGACTATCGACCTGGAGGCCTGCGTTTCGATTCCAATTGCTTTCGAGAAGCCAGTGTTCAAACAGCCATGGAGAGCATCACTGTTTGCGTGACTACGCCTTATCTTCACAGGCGGGAGGACAAGAAGAAGAAAAGCAGGTGGGTCGGGGCGTCGTGTGAACATCCATTCCAATGATTGAAAGCAGGCTACCCTGCGCTGTTAAAGGAACGATTCCACACAATGGGCTGACTGTAACGTTGCGGAATAGAGAGATGGCTTCCTTCTTAGAAATAGTTTTGCCAGGCTTGGGACGCAGGGCTCCTGGCGGATGTGCCAGATGATGAGGATGAGTGGGTCCATGCCTAAAGAGATTGGTCGGTTTTCATCAGTCGGATTTCAACAGATTTAGTTGACAAGATATGGTTTTTCAAGGTGTTGTGGCAACCGGTGCTATCACGGTAGCTTCCTCGGACCAGTGTCTTGGGAACCCTTCTGTTCACACCAAGCACGACTCTCCAGCAAGTTTACAGAGCAAGCAAGAGTCCCAGGTATGAAGACGGTTCCAATGTCTACATCCATGCTGCAACGGGTGGCAAAACGGGCCTGCAGAACGGCGGTGCAACCTGCTACCTCAACGCTGTAATCCAAGTGCTCACCAGCATCAGTTTTCTGACGCAATACTTTCTCTGCGGCGAATGGATGAAGGACTGCCGAGTGGATGAGTCGCTCCCGTGAGAAGTTTGGTTCGATGTTTTCATAGCAGCAGTCTCTCAGACCGTCCCCACATTTCATCCTAGGACCTTCAGAATGGACAAGCCGATGAGTGCTCCGGCCTGATTTTGAATGGAAGCAGTGTGCTTTGACAAAGTCTGGAATCAACACAGATATTTTGCGGTTGTTGCAGGAAATATGCTCATTTTTTCGTTCATTCTGGTCAGACACGAGACTTGCACAGAGCACTGGTTTGCAATTAAGCTAGGGAAGCAATTTCGCAGCAAGGGAAACAAATTCGCAGCTAGGGAAGCAAATTCGCAGCTAGGGAAACAAATTCGCAGCTAGGGAACTACATTCGCAGCTAGGGAAACAAATTCGCAGCTAGGGAAACAATTTCGCAGCAAGGGAAAGAATTTCGCAGCTAGGGAAGCACTTTCGCAGCTAGGGAAACAATTTCGCAGCAGCTAGGGAACTACATTCGCAGCTAGGGAAACAAATTCGCAGCTAGGGAAACAATTTCGCAGCAAGGGAAAGAATTTCGCAGCTAGGGAAACAAATTCGCAGCTAGGGAAGCAATTTCGCAGCTAGGGAAGCAATTTCGCAGAATTGCGAAGCAATTTCGCAGCTAGGGAAGCAAATTCGCAGCTAGGGAAGCAAATTCGCAGCTAGGGAACTACATTCGCAGCTAGGGAAACACATTCGCAGCTAGGGAAACAATTTCGCAGCAAGGGAAAGAATTTCGCAGCTAGGGAAGCAAATTCGCAGCTAGGGAAGCAATTTCGCAAGCTGCGGAAGCAATTTCGAGCTAGGGAAGCAATTTCGCACAATTGCGAAGCAATTTCGCAGCTAGGGAAACAAATTCGCAGCTAGGGAAACAAATTCGCAGCTAGGGAAACAAATTCGCAGCTAGGGAAGCAAATTCGCAGCTAGGGAAAGAATTTCGCAGCTAGGGAAACAATTTCGCAGCTAGGGAAGCAATTTCGCAGAATTGCGAAGCAATTTCGCAGCTAGGGAAGCAAATTCGCAGCTAGGGAAACAAATTCGCAGCTAGGGAAGCAATTTCGCAGCAAGGGAAAGAATTTCGCAGCTAGGGAAACAAATTCGCAGCTAGGGAAACAATTTCGCAGCTAGGGAAACAAATTCGCAGCTAGGGAAGCAAATTCGCAGCTAGGGAAGCAAATTCGCAGCTAGGGAACTACATTCGCAGCTAGGGAAACAATTTCGCAGCAAGGGAAAGAATTTCGCAGCTAGGGAAACAAATTCGCAGCTAGGGAAGCAATTTCGCAGCTAGGGAAACAAATTCGCAGCTAGGGAAACAATTTCGCAGCAAGGGAAAGAATTTCGCAGCTAGGGAAACAATTTCGCAGCTAGGGAAGCAATTTCGCAGCTAGGGAAACAAATTCGCAGCTAGGGAAGCAAATTCGCAAGCTAGGGAAGCAATTTCGCAGCTAGGGAAGCAAATTCGCAGCTAGGGAAGCAATTTCGCAAGCTACGGAAGCAATTTCGGAAGCAATTTCGCACAATTGCGAAGCAATTTCGCAGCTAGGGAAACAAATTCGCAGCTAGGGAAACAATTTCGCAGCTATGGAAACAAATTCGCAGCTAGGGAAGCAATTTCGCAAAATTGCGAAGCAATTTCGCAGCTAGGGAAACAATTTCGCAGCTAGGGAAACAAATTCGCAGCTAGGGAACTACATTCGCAGCTAGGGAAGCAAATTCGCAGCTAGGGAAGCAATTTCGCAAAATTGCGAACTAGGGAAACAAATTCGCAGCTAGGGAAACAATTTCGCAGCTAGGGAAACAAATTCGCAGCTAGGGAAGCAAATTCGCAGCTAGGGAAACAATTTCGCAGCTAGGGAAACAAATTCGCAGCTAGGGAAACAAATTCGCAGCTAGGGTAACAGTTTCGCAGCTAAGGTAAGAGCTTTAGCCGTGTTTGTGATATTTCGCAGCTAGGGTAACAGATTTCTTCCAGTTTCGCAATGGAGGAATCCTGGTGAATTCGCCAATATATAAGGAGTGTTTGCGCAGCCAGGGTAACAGTATCGCAGCTAGGGTGATAGACTTCGCATGAAGGTATCCTAGTCGTAGCTAAAGTAACAGATGCGGTGTAGTCAATGGTCCAGTTTCAGGCCTTGTGC